CACCTTTTTAACAGGATCAGATTGAAGAGTTTCAGCCTGGCTTCATACCATCTGTCCAAGGTCTTTGTGCTAACTCCAAGTAGGACTCAACTCCACCATCTTCTAAATTCCGTATTCTAAATTCCGTATTAGGAGGAGTGAGAGCCTAAGTCTGGGAGTTACTGTATGTCAATGTCAATCTGTTAGTTTATTACTTGTTCCTCCTGTGGGTAGGGGCATGTGGTATCCAAGTCATTTCAACCAGTCTCTGGTCTTGTCTAATTCAGTGCACAGTTGTATAAACTGTATAGTCTCTTCCTATAAAGTATCAAAATACAGTCCCCAAATCTCCAGGGAGAATCTCGCAGATCTCCACAGCATCCCCTATCACCTCAACTTCTCTGTGAAACGTCTCCTTGGTTTGAGATTATTTTTATTTATTTATTTTCCTTTTTGTTATTGTTTGTTTTTTGAGACAGGGTCTCCACATATGCCTGGCTGTCCTGGAACTCACACAGTCACCATGTCATATCACTCACAGTTGCTGTAACTCCAGCTCCAGGGGAATCCAGTGCCTCTGGCCTCCCAAGGCACCTGCACTCTCATGCACAAACTCACACACACACACACACACACACACATAATTTTAAAATAAGAATAAATCTTATATTAGTTATCATTGTACTCCCACCCCTCGAGTAGGAAAAACAAAGAGCATTCTTGTCTGTTTCCAGGCTCTTTCTCTAAGTTTTTTCCTATAATTCACATCTTGAATCGGCTTGATTATTCCAGCTCTGTAGCCAGTGCTGTGCTCTGAATTTCAGTTTCTTCCCAGGGTTCTACAGTAGTCTCCTGATGTCCTCACTTCTGTTTTTGCTTCCCTTTCATCCAATCTACATAGCAGCCAGAAGGTGACCTTTACATATGCATAATGTGTGGAGGACGAACTGCCTGACTTAGAACCTGTCCCTGGGGATGGGGTTCTTCCCTGGCAGGGTAGCATCAAAAACAAACTTTTCAGCATGCCTTTAATCCCAGCACTCAAGAGGCAGGGGCAAATGGATCTCTGTGAGTTCAAGGCCAGCCTGGTCTACAGAGCGAGTTTCAGGACAGCCAGAGCTGTTATATAGAGAAACCCTGTCTGGAAGAAACAAATGAACAAACGAACACCAAACTTCTCATGCTGGCTGTGGTAGTGAGTGCTGTAACCCTGGCACTCACTGCGCTCAGGAGGCAGAGGCAGGAAGATTGCCACGAGCTACAGGTCAGCCTGAGTGACGTAGTTCAGGCCTGCTGGGCCGTGGTAGTGAAACCCTGTGTCAGAC